AGTTGGTACCTTGAAATTGACTTTTTCCTCCAAGTCAGAATTTAACATACACAATTCAGCTTCTAATCACTAAATTGTTGCGCGCTTTTACTTCTAATCATGTTTAACAATCTACCAGAAGTGGTTAGCACCTTGAAACGCAAGAATTAGATGAGTTTTGAGCACTTACGAATCACAATTTTCATGCTTGCAACTTCACACGAATTCCCTCTAAACTTCATCATTCCACGCGCTTGAGCATCCCATTTTCTTCCCTATAAATAAAGGGTTATTTTTCACTCATTTTCTCAAGCTTGAACATCCAAAATCACCCTTCCAAACTCCCTGCATAACTCACTTTTCTAAACTTTCAAATTCATATTTTCTCCATTTTTCAATCCATTTTTTTTTCATTTATACTTCATCCTAGAACTTCCCTGAAGCTAACAGAAGAAGAATCAAGCCTTGAGGTGTCCTAAATCGTGCTAACTAAGTCCAGTTTCAGGATAATTTTCATCTACTTCATTTAGGTAGAATTCTCCATCAAATTGAACCAAATAAAGTCCTATTCTACTACATTTATCTTTCTAATACTCACAGTTCTTACGATTTGCATTTTCATTGAGAATTGAGGGAGATAGTTGAGATTTTCGTGCTCACTATTTTTTCTAGTTTTCTTCAAATTCAGCCTTGCACAGTTTATATAAATTTGGCGCGAGGGTACCATTAGAATCGTCTTGAAGAGACGAAGCTAATGGTACCGGTCTGGTGCTCCAACTTTACAGTTTTAGGAACCTCAATTTAGGGCGTCTGGAGGTTGAAGACGACCTACTTGTCGTGCTTCAGCCAATGATAGCGTGACATGTAATTTTTTGAATTCAATCTAATGCATCTATTTTACCATGTGCGTGTCTCAGGAGTCCTTGGATCTAATTACTTTTGTGAGTCGGACTCCATCCAACGTGCCACATTTTAAGTTGTTTTAAATTAATAAAGATTAATTCAGTGTGAAATTCAATAAAGTCCATGACATGTACAGTGCGTCAGATCCACTGGATCTGTTTACTAACGCGTTTTGACAATGATCAGATGATCCATATTTTTTTGGTTTGTTATTTTATTTTCTGATTTTTATTTTAATTGATTTAAAACTTCAAAAAATCATAGAAAATTCATTTTTGACTCAAAAATTATGAAAAAGTTCACAAAAATATTTTCAAATATTCTCTTTTTGATTTTTACTTTTTCATAATTTTATTTTCAGATTTGATATTTTTTATAATTTTTCCTTCATTTTCACTTGTTTCTAATTATTTAAAAATACTTTTTGATGTTTTAAAAATTCTGAAATTTTTTATAAAAATCATTTTACTCATTTCTGACCTTCTGGTTTTTTTCTTCTAGAATTTTATTTTAATTTCTACTATTTTTTTTAAATCATTTTTCACTTATTTGAGTGATTTTAATTAGTTTAAAAATACTTTTTCTGTTTTAATAAATTACCAAAAATTTATAAATATATTTGAGATCATTTCTGATTTTTCTATGATCCTTTCAAATTTTTCTTTGATACTTTGAATATAGTTTACTATTTTACCTTTTATTCTCATTTTAGAAAAACAATTTAAAAGTCTTTTCCTCTCTTTATTTTATTTATTAAATGCAATTTAATTATTTTATATATTCTGGCCATGTGATTTTTGATCATGAACTTCATTAACATCATTGGATCTAGGGTGTTGAGTATAACTCCACCAAAATGGATGGATGATTTTAATGATAGTTTGATCAAAGTTTTTTTATTCAAATATTTCCCCTTCGTCTTCATTTCGTCCTCTTCTCACTTGTATTATATGTTATTAGAGAATGATTTACATATCATCTCTTTAAACATATGGTACATAGATTGCTATTGACCGGTCTCAAAATAGTTACGACTTCTATATAAGTCCACTTACGATTGCTTAACATAGCGCTAAATTTTATCTTGATTCGAGAAATGATCATTCGTGGCCCAAACCTATGTTTGCAAGCCCAAACATGTTTAATTTGAAACATTTGATCCAACAACCTTGAGATCCATTGTTAGGAGACTTTGGTCTTATTAATCCGCTAATGAATCTTCATAAATTTTAGAACTAAGTGAATCATTTAAACATCGTTGATCATTTATTGTTGCTTTGAGATTTTAAGATGAATAATATACTTGACAAAAAGCAAATGAAACTTGTTGTTGAGAGGTTTTGATTGTATCAATCTTCTAATGAGTTTTCAAATGCAAGTTTCAAGATGGTCATTCAACTAACCTCTAATTCCTAACAATTGACTTTATTGTATGGTTTTACTTTATGCTCTTTATTTTGAGCATATTTATTTTAGCATTTTCATTTCATGCTATTTTCATCTTTGCTCACTTGAGCATTTATCTTTATGTCATTTTTATTTTTCACACTTGAGCTTTTCATTTCTTTTTGAAGATATCTAATAACCAACTTGAACAATAAAAAACTTTAATGTTACTCGGACTATTTGGTTACTATCCTTAGCATGATGGAGTTATGAGCTTTTTGGATTTAGGATTAGATACCTTGGCCTACTTGGAGACTCTTGTGACTTCTATGATTATTTTGTCTAGAGTTCTTAGGGTTTACCCCCAAGATATTGGGTTGTTTGTTTTCTTTGTATGCAGGTTATTCTGATTATATGCTTTGTCTGTGATTGGGAATTCATCTGTATACAGCCGTTACTCAGTCCAATTTTTGTGAAGACTTAATGCATTTGAAGTTTGGTATTCTTAAGAGGTTTAGTATCTTTGCTTGCTTGGTTTCAATCCAAAAGATTAGAATTCTACATTTACTCATTATGTCAAATGTTTACTTCTTGTTGGGTAGACGGTTCTTTTCCCTAGCTTTTACCTTATGCTTTAGAATAGTCCCTTCATCTCCCCCCACCTTCTTTAATTTCAAAAATCTTCTCCCTCTTTTGAAAACTCTTCTTGTTTTTAAACTTGAACCACTTTCACAATAAACTTGGACTTAAGTCCATGCATTTTGAAAAATGCTTTCTCAATCAAAATTTAAACAACTTAATAATACACTGACATTTTTGTGAGAAGACTAAAATTCAATCAATCTCATTAAAACCATTTTGCCACTTTGGCTTTTTGCTTTAAAAATTTCTCAAAAGATAGACTCTTATCAATCCTTGTAGTGATGCGGACTATTATACTTCTACGATATATAGTGAAGTAAGATATTTTTCAATTGGGTGTTGAGCGAGGCTTTGTTAATTTTAAAATCCAAGTCATATCCTCCACTTTGAGATGACACAAATTCTCCTTTCTCATAATCGTGGGTAGTAAGTATGTTTTCCACTCGGATAAGACGGTGACGTCTCATCTCTTAAAATTAACCAACACACTTGTGTTTTAAAATATTTAAAAGTGAACTACGAGTACCCTGATTCCCTATTGCATGGAAGATGGTATGTAGGCACTAAAGGTTCGCAACCGCGGAGGGTGCAAAAATTATAAAAAAATACTTCTTTTCTCATCCCCACAATCTATTTTTATATACAAATTTTATAACCAAAATACACAAATTTTCAAAGAGGTTCCTACGGAGTATCGTAGATGTTTAAGGTGCTAATACCTTCCCTTTGCATAACCAACCCCCGAACTTAGATTCTCTTCCCCTTTTTGGGTTATTCGCTCTTTTCTCATTCCTTTGGAAACAATAAAGCGCGGTGCCAATTTTTATTTGATTTATGCGAGTTAAGTCAATCTAATGGCTTAGTCTAATCATTTCTATCGCTACAATGTGCATAATGCATTTGTGCATGGATATTTGGATGAGGAAGTATACATGACCTTACCAAAGAGCATTGATACCTCCTCCCCAAACTGGGTGTGCAAGCTTCTCAAATCCATCTATTGATTAAAGCAGTCTTCTAGACAATGGTTTGAGAAGTCGTCAACAGTTTTACTAAAACATAACTTCAGACAATGCTCTTGTGATCATTCTCTTTTCATACATAAATCCCAAGAGCATTTCACTTTCATTTTGATTTATGTTGATGAACTTTTGATTGCAGGAAATAATATGGATCTTATCAATCATACAAAACAGATTCTACATCATCATTTTCACATCAAGGACCTTGGCACCTTGAAGTATTTTTTAGGTCTTGAAATAGCTCGCAATAGTTTAGGAATCAACATTAGTCAAAGGAAATATACACTTGACCTTCTTGCTACCACTGGTTTACTTGTTGTAAACCTACCAAAAACCCTATGGCTCGTGATACAAGGCAGACAACAACTGATGGAAATCCTTTGCAGGATCCAACTAAGTATAGAAGGCTTGTTGGTCAGCTCATATATTTACTCAACACACGCCCAAACATAGCTTATTCAGTTCAACAATTAAGCCATCACATGAGTTCTCCCACTAACACTCACTATGATGCTACTCTTCATGTTTTGTGTTATTTAAAGTCTTCTCCTGGCGAAGGATTGTTCTTCCCCAACAACTCCACCTTGTAGATCAAGGATTTCTCAGATTTTAACTGGGCAACATGTCCGGATACTCGTAGTCACATGTTTCTGTATTTATTTGGGTGATTGTTTGATCTATTGGAAGTCCAAAAAGAAGCGAACCATCTCAAGAAGTTCCACTGAAGCTGAGTATAGGTCTATGGCTTCAACAGTGTGTGAAATTTAATGTATCACTAACTTGCTCAATGATCTCCACATCTCATTCCAAAATCCAACCATTTTATGTTGTGACAATGCCTCTGCACGTCACATAACCAGCAACTCTTACTTCCATAAATGCACAAAACACATCGATTTAGATTGTCATTTGGTTTGCAAAAAGCTTTAAAAACAACTGTTTCACTTCCTTCTTGTTACTTCACAACAATAACTAACTGTAGGGTTGGCTTTTTCTGAGTATGGTCCTTATTGGCGTGGTGTAAGAAAACTTTGCACTTTGAAACTTCTTAGTGCTTCTAAAGTTGAGATGTTTGCTCCTATTAGAAAAGATGAGTTGGATGTTTTGGTAAAATCTTTAAAGAAAGCTGCTTTGGTGGGTGAGGCTGTGAATGTTAGTCATGTTGTACAGACTTTGATTGAAGATATAGTGTTTAAGATGATATTGGGTAGGAGTAAATATCAACAGTTTGACTTGAAGATGATTGTTAGACAAACAATGATTTTATTTGGAGCTTTCAATCTTGCTGATTATGTTACTTGGATGGGCTATTTTGATCTTCAGGTATGCATGTCTATAAATTTTTTCTCTATCCAAAGGATGTCGCATATTCAAACTCGTCTATCCTTGACTTTATTGGACTCTTTATAGTATGTTTTAGAGATTTAAATTAATATAATTTGCAGACTATATACTATAGGACTAAAGTCAAAATGGAGTTGAAAATAAATACATTTTCTAACATGATTTCATACCTAAATTAATATATTTGCAAAAGAGAGAAAAATATTTAAACCTCCTAAATTTTTTTCAAGTGTGTTTTCTAGTTTCACTTGCTTACATGGTTTCTTAAGTTTTCTTGAAATATTCAACTGTAAATTGACATTATTAATTTAACTTTTTGCTTATAATTTACTAACGTTTCTCATCAAAATTAAAAGGGAATTACACGAGCTTGCAAGAAAACAAGTAAAGAACTAGATAAATTGTTGGAGGTGATAGTAACCGACCATGAACAAGCTATTAATGTAGACACCCCTCATCATGAACAAGATTTTGTAGACACGCTTCTTTCAACTATGCATCAAACTGTGGATTTAGAAAATGAACAAAATAATGTTATCAATCGTACTGACATCAAGGCAGTATTACTAGACTTGACATTAGCTGGAATTGATACATCGACTTCCGTAGTTGAGTGGGCGTTATCTGAACTTTTAAGGAATTCAAGAGTGATGAAAAATCTTCAAGATGAAATACAAAATGAAATAGGGTGTATGAGAATGATTGAAGAGAAAGATTTGAAGAAGTTAAGTTACTTAGATATGGTGGTCGATGAGATATTAAGACTTTATCCCGTTGGACCTTTACTAGTCCCTCGTGAATGTAGAGAGAATATAACAATTGATGGTTATTTTATTGAGAAAAAATCGCGTGTTATTGTAAATGCATGGGCAGTAGGGAGAGATCCTGATGTTTGGTCACAAAACGCAGAAGAATTCTACCCTGAAAGATTTATTGACAAGAAAATGAATTTTCATGGACAAGAGTTTGAGTGTATACCATTCGGTTCTGGTCGGAGACGTTGCCCAGGAATTCATTTTGGTTTGACTACGGTAAAACTGGTTTTAGCTCAATTGGTGCATTGTTTTAATTGGGAACTTCCACATGATATTACACCTTCAAATTTGAACATGGAAGAGAAATTTGGACTCACTATGCCTAGAGCTCACCACCTGTACGCAATACCCCGTTATCGTTTAGTAACTAATTAGTAAGATACATATGCGTACACATATTGCCGCACTTTTTTAATAACATATCGATATTAGTTCAATAAAGATATATCCAGTTAAATTTTGAGAGCGGTGTTGTCGCTCTCAAACTTTTAGAAAAAATGATATTAGTTAAGTGGTGAAGTAATCTTTATGTAATTCATCTAATTATCAATAAACAATACTCTATTTTAATGAAAATTTGTTCTTGCAAGATGAAATTAAAATTTACTAATCAATGTTTTTACAAAATATGAGAAGAGAAAAATAACATGATAACAAAGTCTTTATGGATGAATCTTATATACATGGCACTTATTGTTTGTTGAACTAACATCAATTTTAACTTGAATTATGTTTCCTCCTCAGAACGTGTTAGATTTACAAAATTCGTCTCATTCATATGCCAATTTCGTTTTGCAAGGGCCTGCAATATTTAATATAGTGAGCAAGTTTTTCTTTCCGTTATCACTACGGAGAAGAAGACACTGATAGTCATAATTTCTTAATATTGAAGCAAAGTCTTCATGCAATTTCTAAAAAATATAAAGTCGAAAAAAATTTAAAAATAATATATCAGATAAAAACGTATTGAAAAAAAGTAGAAGAACTAATTTCAGAAAATTGATATTAACAGAGGTGAGTGTAATATCAAATGCATTAAAGAAATAAATAATTAATATAAATAAAATTAGGATTTCTAAGATAAGGTAACGTTTTCAAGAAGATGAGCAGCCAAGGTAAGTGTTATTTGCATGTGTTTTGACCTCTTACATTTATGTTGTATATACTTTAAATCTATTGTGTATTGGTTTATTATAGTTTGTCTTAAGAATCAGATGACCAGAAAAAAGAGGTTCAACGCCCTTTGGCATCGATCATAGCGGAGGTCAAGCCTCAAAACAATGTCACTCATTATATGGACACATAATCTGACGATAGCGATGATGAGAGTGAAGAATATTTAGAGGATACTAAAGATGACAGTTTTGAATCTAATGATAGTGATGACGATGTGCCTATGTATTAGGAGAAAACTACTACATCAACATCAAAAGAAAAAAAATTCTCGTAGTACATACATCATAAATTTTTTATTTTAACATATTTAGCATGTTCTAACATTATTTGTTATATTTGTATTCCTAGACCTTTTTCAAAAAGAATATTGCATAAGGATCAAGATTCAATCTAACTAATTAACTTTCAAAATGGAAAAACAGATGCGTGTGATGTATACACGACCAACAGAGACATAGATGAAAAGTACATTGCAAATGGTTGGTATGAATGTGTTAAGGAAAAGAAACTCCAAAGAGGTTATTTGATGGGATTTACGATGCCTTTTGGTCTTAAGAGGTTGTATGTAAAATTTGTTCACATATAGAATCATAACAAAAAGGAATTTCTTTCCTCGTGAGTCTCTTCAATGGCAAAGCTAACTTGACATATCTCATAATGAATCTTCGGTAGTGTTTCCAGTGATTTCTGGTAAACAACCGCTAGTCTTCCAAACTGTCGAATAATCTTTCTGACTGTTATTCAATTCCTCTGGTAACTCACAGGATCGACTAGATTGATCCTAGGACTCCTTGGATATTAAGGTTACTCTCACGATCGAACAGATATTCATGGTTGATATTTGAGTGTTTGGCTTATTTCGATTTCTCTCTCTAAAAGTCTAAAGATGTAATCAAAATGTGTGTGTGAAACTAAGTTTCATGAATAAATGTTAATTGTAAAGACATGTGCAATTGCATAAAAGTCAAGTAAATGGTTTCGAATTATGAAACAATTAATGTAAAGAAATTCTGGAACGTAAAAGGTTTGAAATATGAAGAAAGCGTTTAATGCAAGAAATCTGTAAATGACTTTAAGTAAAAATATGCGTTCGAAGGATAAAACTTGAAGGTAAAGGTATGGAAAATATGACAGTTTTCTAAAATGTAAATTGCTTGAAATGTGAAGAAAGCATTAAAATGTAAAACTTTGAAGAAGAGATTTCGAAGTGAAAAGACTGTAAATGAGAAAACTTGTAAATGCTATTTGACAAAAAGATAAAGGAAAGTGCTGGGAATGGTAAAAGGTTTTCATTAAATCAGAAATACATGGTGCTATCATACATACATTTCTCTTGCATTCGTTTCCCTTGCCATGTGGTAGTTTGAATGTTACTGAGTATTTTGTATAATAGATATGACACACGAAATCCTAATACTAAGACTTCTATTTATACTAATTCGACCATAACGGTCTTGCTATAGGATTATGCCACGTTTAGAACATGCAGGACAATGTCTCTTTCTTCTTTCCACGTGTCTCCAAATGCACCAGCATATAACTTTCAAACTTCGAATATCCCGCTTCCATTTGAATTTCAAATGCTTTGGTACTTCTCCGTTTCGAACGCACTTCCCAGACACAACTTTGTTTTTATTTCGAGACTTCTTTAGATATGTTCCCATAATTACCACTCGAAGCTCCAAGCTTTGACATACTTATTCGAAACACTGCTTCTGCTATTTCGAAAACATGGCTCTTTACCTCATTTCGATCGAAACGTTTAATTCATTTGACTTCTAATATCATTATCAAAATCTTCAGCCAACAAATTTCCCCTTTAAAATATGTATTTCGATTCCTCTGAGAAATACCTATTTTAAACACCTACACAAGATTTTGATGTGACTTTCGAATCATCGTAACATTTAATGCATTTGACTCCAGTCACATCAATCATAGCACCTTTTGGATTCCTTAACCGCCTGGAGCCACTTCACAGTATGGTGCAGTTACAACTAATGATTATCTTTAAATCACGCCTATTACCCATGTTAACTTTACGCCACCTCTTCATCACACCAACCCATGATCTCCACGTATCACACCCTTATTCAGTGGGTGCTTAAACTTCCCCATTATAAAACATCACCAACTTAATCTTTTTCTTTTCTTTTCACACTCTAAATCTTTTACCCTCCTTCTCTCGTCAAAAACCCAAGCTTTCAACATCTTTCAAAAATGTCTTCTTCTACTTCATCCCAACTTAAGAAAGTCTCCAAGAAGAAAGGAAAAACTGCAGGAGCTACCATGGAAAGTAAAATCATCACTCACCAAGGTCAATTCGTTCTTGCCCCTCAGATGATTTCAAAGGAAAAAGAAATGTTGTATACGTCACAGGTACTCATTCCTACCAATGTTGCTGGTAAGAGGTTAGCTTTAAATGGCCCTCTTACGGTTTTTGAAATATTAAAAGACACCAGGACGATTTTCCCAGTCTGTTATAGTTTTAAACCCTTATTTAACAAAATGGATGCCCCTAAGGCAGTAGAATCTTCTAGTTCAAATACCATAGAAAACCCCACTGTCCCTCCTAAGGACCCCTTTGTATTGGATTATGTAAAAAGCAATTTTAAGCCATTTCGATCTTGCCCCACCTCTGATATTGCTTATCAAAATTGGTTCAAGAAAGTAGAAGCTAAGAAATCCCAGCAATGGGAAGAATTAGGTATCTATAACCTGATTAAGCTATCGAAGCCTGGTTTCACCTACAGCCACCCTCTGCTATTCGCGTCCCTCTATTTCTGGGACAGTACCTATAACACTTTCCATCTCCCAGGTGGAATGATCACCCCAACCTTCTTCGACATAGCGGCCATCACTGGGCTATCGCCAGTGGGAGAAACTTATATACCCGACAACGAAGAACACTCAAGCATAATTGACTTCGAAGTCAAGCTAGCCAGTTTTTCCAAGTTTATCAGTCATTATCATGCTGAGGGGGACAATGTGTCTGACGTAGAGCACATTGCTTTCTTAACCCTGTGGCTGTCAAGATACGTTTTCTGCAGTAGATCCCTACAGGTAGCTAGTAGGTTCATTCCTCTAGCTAGGGACTTGCATGAAAATCGAAAAGTGTGCCTAAGTGAACTGCTCTTAGTTGACCTTTATGAAAGCCTGAGGTCAGCCGTTTCGAGCCTCAAATCCCACACCTCCAAAAATATTCTGTTGGCTGGCCCTTTTTGGTTACTTCAACTATGGCTAAATGCCATGTTCGAACCCTCCTTATCAACCTCCAACACCATTGATGAGCAAGATTCTGAGATAAATGATAGGATAGTCGAAGGCACTAGGCTTCGAAGATTAACTCCCAATGACGACAAAGATGACTTCAAAGTCCAATTCTCGAAGTACATCATGATATTCTCCAAAAGGCACAAGTTTGAAGAGAGCATGGCGCCTTTTGCTTCGAGGGCTCATGGACCTTCTTGGTTCACCATGGCTCTCTCAGAAGCTATCAAGAGCAAGGAGATTCAGGATGTATGGAGAGCTTTTTTGCTGCCTAGACTCATTTCTTCAAGAATAACTCCAGCCAAGAACCAGATTTTTCTCTTTGCCTACCAACCAAACTTCGTTTCGAGGCAGTTTGGCTTATGCCAACTGATTCCTGAACCTTTATTTCAAACTGAGAGCGCCATCACTTCTGGACGAACTTTCAAGGCACGAGAAGCCAAAATACAGCAAGAACAATATCAAGGCTTTGCCCAATTTGAGCTGATAACCTTCGAACCTACCCATCTCACGGCTAAAGGATTTCTGGAATGGTGGACCAAGTTTTATCAAACTTATATGTTCGATACACTTACAATTCAACAGAAACTAATTGATGCCTTCAATGTGCAGGTACCAACAAAGAAAGGTATGTTTACTCATGCCAAAGAGATTAAAGCTTTCCAAAATTATTTTGAAACTACTTACGACCCCACGCGCTTGGACCCCACTGTGCATCAAGCAGCTGAGACCTTGAAGGAAAAATTTAAACAAAAAGTTTCTAAGTTAAAACTTCCTTCAGGGCTGTCACCTGAGGATAGGTATAGGTTGGCATTCGAAATGCATCCACCTAAATTTCCCAGATTACCTACCTCAGAACTGGCTCTGGCTTGGTTTCCCCCATATCCTTGGTGGTTTACTTGCAAAGAGATGTTCAAATATCTTCAAAGGAAACCAAATCCATCTGAGACTGTGACATGGGCTCGATACTGGCTTCATGATTTCCCAGGACACCTTCGATACGACCTTTCTGCCATGTCAATTAAATCTGATCAAGGCACAGGTGCGAATGCTTGGGAAAATCCCAAATGTCTTTTATTTTCCATATCTTTAACCTTTGCTTTAATTGTTTCGATTTTCAGCCATCAGGATAAAGACAGCTGCCTCGAAGTCGAAGGAAGGGAGCGCCTCTCAAGCCTCCATCGAAACTACTGACAAAGTGACTCCTCCCGAAACAACCACTATTGCTGCAACCATAACAACAACAATAATACCAACAACAATCGGTGTTCCAATTCCAACGGTAATCACTTAGCCTTGATGTTTCGAATTCACTCATGCTTTATGGTTTGCATCTAACTCTTCGTTTACAATTTCTTCAGACCAACAAGCTTCCTCCTCCTACTCCCAAGAAGCGGAAATCAAGCACCACTGGGGAAGATCCCAAGGCTGGAGGAAACTTAAATACTGCTTCGAAGAAGAAGCCAAAGAAAGATATTTCGAAAAGCACCGTTCCAACTAGTGTCTCTGGACTTGATTCCAGGGATGCTGCTCCCTCACCCAAATCCAAAAATCCACCTTCGACCTCCAACCCAACGTTGGAACGTATAGCTAGTAACCTCTCCTCCGAGAGTCCACAGGTAAATTGAACCTTTAAATTTTTGACAATAATAACTTCTTATTACCTTGGTGAATATTTTTAACATTCTGTTGCTCCTTGCAGAACATCTTGAATCCAGCTTCCACTATTTCGAACTCACCATCCAGAGCTGCTGCTCCGCTCAACTCCTCTCCTCAAGGAGATTCCAGCAACCTGGTTCAAAATAAAGGTTCCTCCAATATGGCGGTTCTGGCTGGAACTTCTGAACAGCAGGATGATCAAGGTACCTCCATTCCTCTGAAAGAGATAAACGAAACAACACTTCAAACGTCTGCAGAGGATTTGCAAAGGGCTTCTCTTCAAAAGTCCCCTCTTGAAACTCTTCAAGAGGACCCAAAGGACACTCAAACTAAAGAAGAGAAAGTTGATTCTGGGCAAAGAGCCGAAGAATCTGCAGACGAAGAATCTGAGGAGGAGAATGCCAATGACGGTTCGACTGCTGGGACGGAGTCCAACGCAAATAGCAGTGAAAGGGATGGTATCGAAGTGGTGGACTTGGATAAGGATGAAGAAGACCAAGAGCACGAAACGAATGAAGGGGATGGTAATGCAACCAACGAACCCATAGAAGTTGAAATGGACGTGGCTCCCCTACGTGTGGAACTCCCTCAATCCTCTCTGTCTCGAATGACTGACGAGGAACTGGCACTTCTGAGACGAAATGACCCTATTGGGTACATGAAGGCAAAGTTGGCTCAGAGGGACGTCCCACTTGATAGGGCTGGCACAAGTTCGACCAGCTATCCTCTTCCCACAGATGAAAGAATTGTTCTTCTTAATAAAATTAGGAATACCATTCTCAATGTGGATATATTCGAAGTGCTTAAGCAAGATAGTACTGCTTGCTATACTATGAAGGAGCTGCTCACAAAGGTCAATCTTTCCACCTGCTC